TCCCTACGGATAGAATTGGCCATCCTTGCCAGACCTTCAAAAGAGGCTGATTCTTGCCATCCAACTTATCGGCCTACTTTTTGCACATCCGAAAATACAAGTTGCAAGCTTATGACCAACTCGATCATACCTCGACTTGAACCGGCTCAAGAACTTCTATTTGACAGGATTTGCATTTATTCACACAATTCCCGCATCTTCACTAGAATGCACATGACCTTAGGGATACCTTGACTACAGGGTACCTTCCAGTACCATATATCGCTTGGCCATGCTGTAATTGCTAATCGCGATGGGAGAACATGTGTCAATATGTACACTGTCCATTTGGCGACTGTAGCCCAGTTTGATTAGAATACTTGGGTTTTTATGGTGATAGCAACCAATTTGTGAGAGGATACGTAGTCGGAGCAATTTCGTCAGTCGGCAAAACAGGAAGATTAAATTTTCACAACACTCTCGACCGGAGTGTAGGTAGTTTCTCAGTCGAAAGTTTCGCATGATGCAGACTTCCTTTTCTGACATTCGCGCCACTTGGCTGATGCTAATGCTAATGCCGACTTACAAAGTTGTTCTCTTTTCGACAAAATAAGAGAAATCGGCCCAAATAAAAGTGATAATGCCCAAATTATACTGTAGAGCTCCTAACTTTATCGTTAAGTTTGCATATCTGCCTAATATTCCACCGTAAAAGAGGGCGTTAATACTAGAATGCGCTAGATTGAAAGAGATGTCTTCACCCTATTTCGTTCAAGATGAAGAAGCACTACTGGCAGTTGAATTTATCCACAATCATATGACTAGACTTTACGTTTCCATTGAATTTCCCGTTGCTCTGCTTCCCAATCGGTATCCTTATCCGGGGTGCAATTAAATAAGATAATCAATTGAAAAGTAAGGTCTACTCATAAAGTAGTGAGAAAATTAACATATCAGTCTCCTTATCAACTTAAACGTAATAGAGTGAACACATCCCTTATATCTGATTTACTGGTAGTCTCTAAGGCCTACTTACAAACGAAAAATAAATTAGGTGGGTTCCTAAATTTTGTGTTGGAGAGGTTTTTTGAAGAGTCCCGAAGATGCTTCTGATGATGCCGATCGAATTTGGAAATTTGCAACGAGCTTATTTAAAGGCCACGATGCAATGTCACCGCTTCTAGAAATCCTTTGCAATTATGATGTCCTGAATATTTGGAGGTTGTCTCTAGGCTGCTTTAAAACAAGCTCTCTAAAAATTATGTATTCCAAGTACATGCTTCTGTCGTCAATTTTTATGATTTTGCCAGGGCTTGACACATCTGCCGTTGACCGTGATTCAGCTTCAGACTTGACGACAAAATGGAGTTGACGATTATTTCGCTACTACCACACACTACTTACTAGTTAATTACAACAATTACTACAACTAATTATTTACTTCACTACTTACTACTTTACTACTACTAGTAGTAGTAACAACAACAACAATAATAATAATAATTACTACTTGTTTTCACTGCAGGAAATAGGCACCTGGAGTGCCATGAATTCGGAATAAAAATAATTATTCAGATGTTTTTATTTTGTTCCATTAATATCCAAATAGATGTAGATGGGAGGAGCGGCCTTTTCACGAAATGTGAATGGGGCCGAATATGGCACAATTTTGGACAAGCTTGCCGACCAAGTTGCGTCTGGACGGCCATTTTGCGTCTGCAGCAATCGAGTCCTGCGCTTTTCGGCTGTAGCTGGGCGATGCTGTTGGCAGAAGCCAGTTCGTCCAGCGCCACACAAAGAGACGATCGTCCCTAGGCAACCGGACGGCCGGTAGCCGCAGCTGCATGCTCAGGACGCTGCCGGTGCGGTCCCAGCCCAAA